AATGTATTCACAGAAGATAAAGAAGAGAAAGAAATAAAGAATTAATAATTCTCATATCTTTAAGTTCATTTTGTGATTACAATGTATACTCTGAATGAGAAGATATTAGTGAGATATCTACTTAACTCTGAGATAAATACTAACTTCATATTCTATTCCTTTTCTTTAATAAAGAATTGAAAGAAGCTAGATCTATTAAATCATATAAAATTTACTGATGAAACAAAGTATTATTATTTTAATATAATTTAAGTAAAGTGTGTGATCACAGACTCAGAAGAAATCTTCAAGAAGAGTAGTCTGCTTCTTCACACTGTTAATATTATAGATAAGAATGTTATTCTAGATCTTTTATAATTGAGAGAAAATAATTCTCTTCTTAACTGAGTCACTCAGATGTGATAGTATTATCTCACTAATAAAGAGACAGTGATAGAGAAATCTGAAGAGTTTCATCAGAAGAATCTTGAGAAAAAGATAGAGTCAATATACTATATAGCAGAAGACTGAGACTTGAGAATAGATGAAGAAGTCATCACTCTCACTGCAAGACTAGCAGCAGTATCTGTTATTAAAGACAGATATATACAACATCTCTTTATAGATTATAAGAATGTCTTTTCAGAAAGAGAAGCAGTGAAGTTTTCTGATATCAAGATATAATATAAGATTCATCTTGAAGATGATATAATAACACTGTACAGATCTCTTTATAACTTATCTGTAAAGAAATTGATTGTTCTACATAAATATCTTGAGAAAGCACAATCAAAGAACTGAATACACTTATCAAAGAGTCTGACAGAGATATCTATACTCTTTGTACTTAAGAAGAATAATAGACTACATCTATGTGTAGACTACAGAGGTCTTAATAAGATAACAGTTAAGAATCACTATTTATTATTATTAATTAATAAGATGATTAATTGATTATCTGAAGTAAAGATATTCTCAAAGATTGATATACAGAATATCTATTATAGAATCAGAGTTAATAAAGACAACATTTAAAAAATAGCTTTTAATATCAAGTATGACAATTTTAAATATCTTGTTTTATCTTTTAATCTTTGTAACACTTCAGTCATCTTTCAAACCTATATAAATAAGATGCTGTGAGGCCTTGTCAATGTCTTCTGTATAGTATACTTAGACAACATTCTAATCTTCTTAAAAATAGAGAAAGAACATGATACTTATGTTTGAAAAGTGTTGAGTTGCTTGAGACAGTATCAAATCTATACAAACACTGAAAAATGCTCATTCTATATACAGAAGATTGATTTCTTAGATTATATTATTGAGATGAACAGCATTTCAATGAATAGAAGCTGAGTCTTTACTATCAAGAACTGGCCAGTGCTGCAGATGTACTGTGAGATACAGATATTTCTAGAATTTATAAATTTCTACAGATAATTCATCTATACATATTCACAGATTACTACTTCTCTTACAGATATATTAAAGAGAAGTGTGAAAGACAGAAAGATAAGACTGTTTATTCTCACTCAAGATATCATGCAGGCATTTATAGAATTGAAACAAGCTTTTACAGATGTTACAATACTGAATCACTTTAATTCTGATTTATTCAGTCAGTGTGAGACTGATGCATTCAGAACTGAAGTCTGTGAAATCTTTTCACAGTTGACACTAGAGGTCTTTCAATGTTGAAAGAATCAGAGAATAATAATCTCTGAGAATATAGATAATGAAATATCTGTAAGAGAAGGCTTTTGTATGAAGTCTATAAGACACTGTAAATGAAGATCAGTGATCTTCTTCTTCAAGAAGTTATCACTCATACAGAGAAGATATAATACTCATGATCAAGAGATATTAATAATTATTGAATTCTTTAAGATCTGGTGACATTATTTTCAGAGTAGTAAATACTCAGTGTAAGTTCTCACTAATTATACAAATCTGCATTACTTCTTGACAACAAAGAGCTTGATACAATATCAAGCCAGGGGAGCAGAGCTGCTTTCAGAGTATGATTTCTATATTCAATACTGTTCAGATCAGCTTAACTCTGCTGACACACTGTCTAGACAGTCTGATTATAATATTATTAATATAAAGAAGAATTCTATAAAAGAATCTCTGTCATCACTGTAGAAGAAGCTGGCTGCAGAGAATTGAGATTCTCTGAAGCTCAGAAATAACATCAGTAAGATAGCTATGTGACTCAGTATAGAAGATGAAAGAAAATCTGAGTCTCTGCAGAGAACTGACACTGAAGATCATAAGCATCTCATATTATATCTTACTATTATTAAACTAATAAAGAATGAAATGATCTACACTCTTTCAATCTGACTACTTTTGAAATTCATTGATAAGTTATAAAAGAGAGATGTCTCTACTGCAGCTTGAATTTAGAAGTTGAAGAAGAAAGAATCTGATTTGAACTTGAAAGAGAGAGACTCTAAGCAGAGCAGTGCTGCTAAGAAATCAAGTCACTGATAACTAGAAGAATGTGAACTTCTACTACTGAATAGTTCAGTCTTCATCTCTCATAGCAGAGCAGTGCATCAGAAGTTATTAAGAATTCATTATAATAATTCTCATACAGAACACTTCAGGTTAGAGAAGACTGAGAAGCTTCTAAAATATAAATATATTTGAGACAAGCTCTGAGCAGATGTCAAAGAGTATGTTGAGACTTGTAGTGTCTATCAAAGAATAAAGATTCTATGATATAAGTAATACAGTGAGTTGATGTCACTGTCTGTTTCAAAGAGTCTATAATAGAATCTATCAATGAATTTCATAGTTGACCTGCTGAAGTCAACAAGAGTCAAAGAATATGACTCAATTCTGATCATTATTGACTGCTTTACAAAGATGACTAAATATATTTCTACTTATTAAAAGATTAAAGCCTCTGAATTGACTGACCTGTTTTTAAATATCATCATTCATAATCATGATGCTCTGAGATTATTGATAATAGATTGAGAATCTCTCTTCATCAGTAAATACTGATCAGCTTTTTACTATCATTTTATAATAAAATGTCTTCTCAGCACTGTATTTCATCTGCAGATAGATGATCAGACTGAACATCAGAATCAGATATTAAAACAGCATCTTCAAGTGTTCTATTTATATTATTAGAATAATTAACTTAAATATCTTCTAATCACTGAATTTATATATAATAATACAAAGAATGTAATCTTAAAAGTATCTTCTTTCTATGCTTGTTATGAATATAATTCTTCATTATTCAGTGACATCACAGATGATGTTTCAAAGAGAGAAATAGATAGTCAGAATATTAAACAGGTACAGAGAACAGAGTATCTCTCAGTACTAGAAGTAAAAGTAAGATTGAAACTTTTGAATAAAATTTATAAGAAGATGATGAAAAGTATTCACTATGCTTAGAAGTAGTAGATAGAATACTATAATTGAAAACATCTTTCAATGAAGTTCTTGATAGAGAATCAAGTACTACTTTCAGTGAAGAATATCAAGATAATAAAACTGTGTAAGAAGCTCAGTGAGTAGTAACTAGAATCTTTTCTAATAATAAGAGTAATGAGTAAGCAGACATATGAGTTGAAATTACTCTTAGAATTGAAATCAATTCATTCTATTTTTCACATTTTCTATTTGAAGCTCTATAAGTAATACTCTGAGACAGAACTGTCTTGACTGAATAATATTAAGATTGAGAGTGATACTGAATATCTTATAAAGAAAATATTGAATAAGTAAACATATTATAATAAGCTTTAATATCTTGTTAAATAAAAAGATTATTCATTATCAGAGAATTCATGAGAATCACTTGAGTATTTGAAAAATGCTGAGAAAGAGATTGCAAGCTATGAGACAGCTAGTAAAGATCATTCTATTTCACATCAGAGATATTGAACAAGAAATATCACTTAAGACTTCTTATTTTTCTTAAAGAGTTTTTAGAGATAATCTTGTAATAATAAGCTGATATCTTGTGAACTTTATAGCACTCTTCTTCTATTTTTTCTCTCAAAGAATTTTTAGAAGTTTAATAAGACTACACAAGTGTAAAATTCCTGAAGTGATTAATAAGAAAAGAAAGAAATATTTAAAATTAATAAAGATTAATATTATTAATCTGTGAGTCACTGCTATTCTAATAGAGCTGCAGCTCACTGAAAAAGTAAAAAGAAAAATCAGAGTCTACTTATTAATAATTATATCTTTATCAAACTCATTCTTCACTGTTAAAGTCTTTGATATCAGTATCTTTATCTGCTGAGAAGTTAGCACTGCAGCATTATAGAGAAGCATGCTGCAGAAGAGTATAAGAGATACTTGAAGTATTAACTTATCAATTTACAAAGTACCTCAGTCATCTGCTTTAATTGAAGTGAGATTCTCTTCAATCAGTAATTAATCTCTGTGATACTTTCAACAGTGATGTCAGCTGATCTCTTCTTAAGATCAGTCATTCTGAGATGTTTTTTCATCTCAGAGATTCATATCTTTATCTTCTTTTATAGATGAGTAAGAGAGACCTCTTCAGTCTTAATAGAATTCATCAATACTTAAAGCTCTGAGACTCTTACTCTGTACTACTTAGGCATCTGAGATTCTTGTCAGAACTGATATAACATCTTCTTATAGAGTAGATAATGCTTACAGAGAGATAGAAGTTATTATTACAGATACAATGAAAATAATAGAAGTAAGAGAAGAGATAGATGTATAAACTTCTCTCTTTCTTCAGCTGCTTAGCACAGTGTAAATAAGTGATGATATCAGTCAGAGACTGTATCAGAGTCTTCTCACAGAGAGAAGATAAAGAAACTGTGAGATTCTGCAGACTCAACTCAGCAGTATTCTGAGCAGGGCTCAGATATGCTATAGAAGAGAAACTAAGAATTGAGCTTCTCAGAGTCACTATCTCTGCAATCAAGCTCTTCTCAGAGTTCTCTCTGAATGATCACACAGGGTTATATGTCACTGTGTTGATTGAGAGAGATGGCAGTGTCACAATGACAGTAAGAGAGGCAGAGAACAGATCAGACACAGATGAATCAATTAGCAGAAGAGATGATATCTCACTGCAAGGCACAGCTACTATCACTGCAGCTGTAAGAGATGTAGAAGAAGAAGAAGATGTGGTAATAAGAGTGATACTTCTGCAGCTCATTGACATCAATGACTTCATCTTCAACCTAGCTTTTTTAATAGTCACAGAGGCCGCAGCTGCATCATGAAGACATTTATTACTCACTAGAAAACATCAGAATAAGCCTCTTATTATCTCTCAAGAATAATGCTCTCATACACTCACTATTGCAGATGAGACAGAGAGAAGAAAAATGTTTCACAGAGAGAAAAGAGATCTTTTTAAAAAATCCTGCTACTACTGTTAGCTTTGTCTCTAAAATACACTACTTTTGCAGAGAATTTTATACATAGAACAGAAGATGATGAAAGATCTGTAAGTCACTTATTAACTATGTTTTTCATATTTTAAATCAATATATAAGAAACTCACTTATCACATGTTTAATTGAGACAGAGATGAGAAAGAAAGATCTACACAGTTAGCAGAAAAACTCATCTATTTCTTTGTATCACATGCAGTATATATGCTTAAATCAGTGATATCATACTATATAATATATATTCTATCAGTAATCTAAGAGTATCAGACTATGCTCTTAAAGAAGAGAGTATTATTATATCTCTGACTGTGTCAAGATCTCACTGCAGTTCTACACAGCTTATTACTTTTATACAGATAATTTCATTCATTCTGCAGGCTGTTCAAACTGGTTTTCAATCACTCTATAACATTATTCAGATATATTATAGAAAGATCTGATTAATGAATATGAGAATCTCACTTCTATACAAGATCAGCAGATTACACTTTTATAGTAGTAAGATACTGCTGAGATATCACTCTAGCTATTCTTACTTATGAAATGAGAGAAGAGTATTCACTCATTGTCTATATAGAATAGCTAGATACTGGCTTCTCATCAAAGAAGTCAGTGATTTGTTTTTTCTTTAACTGAAATATATACAAGAGTTACTGCATTTCTCATACAATCTTCTTAGTATACTAAGTATCATATCTGTGATATTCTCACAATAACTCTGTAGTCTATGAGGTTGCTATTCAAGCAAGATAGTCAAGCTCACTTATACGGCTTCTCAACAACTACCTCTATGTGACGCCGCTGACTAGTCACCGCTGCGGTTCCGCCACGTTACAGAGACTAAGATGAAGAGAGAAAGAGAGAAGAAGAGTATTACTATAAATAAGTGATAACAGAAGAAGATTAAGAGAGTGTTGAAGTGAGAGATAAAGAAGTCAAAACTGGTAAGTTTTTTATTTATTGAAAGATAATGATTTTTGATAATACTTCTATTCTCTAATTGATTAGCAGAAGCTGATAGAGAAGAAGAGAATTGAGGCCTTGTTCAGGTCTTGAATACACTTCATAATTCAGAACATTGAGAAGACAGCTCTGCTCTCTGAGCATATCAATCTGCTTATCACTGAAGTGAAACCTGAGACAGTAGATCAGGAAATGCAGGATTTTGAGATGCAGGTTGACCTGGCTGAGAGAAAGCAGCATAAACCCTTCTCTAAGAAGACAGTGAAGAGAGATTTTGAGATGATTATCATCTCAAATGAGAAGAAGAAGAAGGAGAAGAAGAATGAGAAGTGAATTATAAAGAATGATAAGATGAATGAGAAAGAGAAGAAAGATAATGAGTAGAAAAAGTTTTTTTCTTTTTATATTAGTTAGTTATAAGTTCACAATTATTAGTAATTGAAATTAATTTTGAGTTTTTAAAAATTATTGTACAAGTTGTAATCAAGTCAGGAATAATATATATATATATATATATTTAACTATTATGATTCACAAATCACTTATAATGTATAAGTATCAACATTTTTTCAATATTGATATTTATAATATTAATATATTTTTAATGATATTATCTGATAATGCATTTTAATAACACTCTCTTTCACAATATTAATATATTTCAAGAAATATGATAGAGATTAATTAAGATTATTTATTTACTTTTATACATTGATGATATTCAATCTGAGTTAGTACTAAAATTATAACTAAGCTAAGAAACAAGATTATTTTCTCTTATATTAATTCTTCTTACACTCATCAGTGATCAGTTATTGAAAATAAATTATTATCTTTCTCAAATTATTATCATATCTTCTGAATTCACTTCTTTCACTTCTTTTACTTCTATTGAAGATTCATAAACTCTTCAAGAAATCACTGTGAATTATAAAGTCTATATTATTTACAATTCAACACAGAATACTCTCTTTCAATTATAATAAATAATTACTTCATTCTTCACATCTGATTTCAGGCTATAAAATTTATGAAAAACTCAACATAAACACTGAGATGAACTATGAAATAATTATCAACAGATTGTATTATAGATTACTGAAGAGTTATCTCTCTGCTAGAATCACTATAACTTCATTTAGAAATATTCATTATAAACTGATTATAACTCTGAAGAAATTTTCTGACATCTGAAGTCATCAGAATACAGACAATAAAAGAAAAATAATCAGAAAATTACTACTGAGCTGATAAGTTACTCTATCAGATAATGATTTTTGATAATACTAACTTTCTAATTTGAAGGAAATCATGTGAAAATGATCATATATCAGTACACTGATTTCACAACTGTCATCTGATAACTTTCATGAATAATTACTTTATATATATATATCTCTGAATCTTTCTCTTCAATCAATTGAAAACTCTGAATTCTGAACACTTCTTCAAATGCTTAATTTAAATCTTTATATTTCATATTGATTCTGTCTTCAGTTCAATCTTAAAACACACTACAAAGTTAATATGTAATATCTAGAATCAGAGTTGAAGAATCATTGAAGAGTGTCTCTCACAGTGAATGTATAAATCAGTATAAATAATCTTACATTTATAAGAGTTACATGTTATTACATTGATGAGAACTGAACTTATTAAGAGACATTAATTGAATTTGAATCATTGATCAGTAGTCATACTGAGAATTATATAACAGAGATATTAATAACTGTGATTAAAAATAACTATTGAGATAGTAGTCTCAGTCTTCTTATAATTACAACTGACAATACTGTGAATAACTATACTATGATGAAGAGCTTGAAGTAAAAATTAACTTTGCATTTCTAAAATAATAAACAAGATCATATTCTCTGCATTGCTTATGTGATTTAACTTATAATACAAACACTGATAAAGAATCTTAATATTAAGACAAAGAATAATAAGATGACTGGTTCTTGAGATGAGAATAAGATGAAAGTAATTACTCAATTAACTTTTATATTCACTTTGTAAAAGATAATGTTTTTTAATAATACTTTTTAATATTACTTTTTAATAACACTTTTTAATAATACTACTATTAATTTTGAATAGATTGACTAATAATTTAAATATCACAGATTTGAAGCATTATTAATATAATTTATACCTTCTCTAAACAATAATAATGATTTCATGATATTTAATAAATAAATAAATCAGTCACATCACTGAATATGATACAGAATATTAAAATATAATAAAGTTCAATATATGAGATAACTGTTCAGACTCTTTGATTGTGTCAGATAATTAATTATTGAGTATAACACTCTGATTGAGAAAAGATTCAGATATTAAATTTTCTGATATGAAGTGAATTCAGTTAAAATATATGATTGATTTACTATTTCAGTTTTATAAGATAATAAAGACAGTCTCAATCACTTGTACATCAATACTGCAGTTAGTCTGATGAGTATATAACAGTTTATTTACTTATCTTAAGAAGCAGTTAAATCACTTAAAAAGAAATTCAGTGTGAGATAATGCTATAGTGCAGGCTATTATTACTGTAAGAAATAAACTGATATATTACTACAGCAAAACTGAACAATCTTTTGCAGAGTATTATACTGTAGCAGCTCTACTAGATCTCTTGTATCAAGTTAATATCTACGCTTCTCAAGATTGAATAGAGGAGAAATGAGACTCATATGTCAAATTAGTCTGAGACTACTATAATATCAACTATCAGAGATTTGAATCAGCAGATGTTCAAGATGTGAAGACAGTGAAATATAATTCTCTAGTAATTAACAATCTTTGATAACACTTCATATTATATAGAACTATAATACTAACTTTGAAACAGAACTTGTATACATTGATTATAACTGAAAATCAGACAAAACTATATACTTGTAAAACTGAATTTGATTACTATCTTTAAGATGATTCAATGAATTTAAACATCAAATCAATTCTAGAGTTATAAAAAATTATTGAGAGTATATATTCAACTGTTACACTGATGACATATAATATTCTGACAATTTCATTAATAGAGGTGAGAATGAAGTAAAAGTTTAACTCAAGTCAAGATATTTATCACTATTATCAGAGACAATTACAAGAAGAAACAATCAAGAAACTCATGATTGTAAAATATGAAATTATCAGATAGTTTAATACCTCTGATCACAGTATATCAGAGAAGTGTAGTTTTCATAAGAAAGTGAAGAATAAACTTGTATAAGAATGTATTTACTTGTTTCATAAGTGTTATTAATAATCATTATCAAATTTTGATTATATAAGCAATCACTGAATGAACTGAATGAGACTGATTTTAATCTTCAGTCTCAGTCTTATTCTGATTTTGAAAGAATGATCATCTTTCACAGTTTATTCTGAGAAATTACTCTCATTTCACTGCTCTTGAATTAAATCTGGTCATTTTTCACATCATTTCTCTCAGAAATGATCCATTTTCAGATTTTTTTGAGACTTGGTTCTGGTGAGACTCACATCAAGAAATGTATGAGACCAGATCAAATGAAATCAAATGTGAAATTCATGATCCTGCCGGCCAGTCTATCTGTATATCTAGATGACATTCTCATCTTCACTGATGAATTCAGAAAGAAATATCAGAAACATGTGTGAAGAGTATTGTAATAATTACAAGAAACAGAACTATCAATAAATATTAATAAGTGTGATTTTGAAGTTAAGAGTACAAAATATCTAGATATTATCATAGAAGCTGATAAGAAAATTCAAATGAATTCTGAGAAGATCTCTGTTATTCTTGAATGAGAAGCTTCACATACTATAAAAGATGTATAAAGCTTCATTAGACTTGCTAACTTTTA